CTTTCAGGAACACCAGTGATTTTGCCCCAGGGCCCTGTCCTCAGCAGACAAACAAGTCATTTGGTTATGCCTTGGGCCTGGCGAGTCTTATGACTCATGCAGAATCCAAAGGAGCTGCCCCAGGAGGGGCACTGTGGGTGGTGATGTCATGAGCAGCCAGATGTCAGGAGACTGGGTGGCCTCAGATGGCAAGCTTTGGATTTTAACTCTTCTTTGTTCCTAACCATTGGAAACTCCAAAAGCACTCAATGAATGCCCAACCGGAAGACTCGATATGCATAAATAGGCTTTAAAAGCAACCCCTGACTCAGTCACAGCTCCCCTTGTGTGGAATGTGCATGGAGATAGGTTCATGGCTGTAGATTTTAAGCCAGGGAATCCCTGGGAGGAGCCTGACCTTCACCTTCGTGTTGGCGTCCACTCCTGGAATCACCAGTCTGACCCCCCCCCACCAGGATCCCTGTGAGGAAGCCAAGAATACAGGCTTTGCCGCCAGTTGGTGCTGGGTTTGACTGTGATTCTGCCACCTGCCTGGGAGCCTCTTAACTTCCCTGAGTCTGTTTCCTTCCCTGAAACATGGGACGGTAGTAGTATTTCACTCCCAGAATGCTTCTGAGGGCTGACACATAGCAAATACATTATGAATTATTATTATTTCTATTGTTGTCATTCTAACTTCAAGAACAACCTGGCTAAATTATTCAAAGCACATTTTCAGCAGGAAACTGAGTTCAATCATTATATTCTTCCTGCTAATGGCCTGGCTATAAACAATTACTCTTCCCAATTTCCTTGGCTTAGACAGGGTTTCCTCTGAGTCAGTCTGTAAACCAACTGCATCCTAATTAATCCTCATTATCCAACCACAGGTTGAATGAGGACAACTACTTGTCCCTGCTCCCAGCAATATCTGTTCTCTCATCACCAGAAGGCTAACTGGGTGCATGGCTACCCAGACTACAAGACTACATTTCCCAGAAGACCCTGCAGCTGGTAGGGCTATGTGACCACGTGTTAGCCAATGAGAAGCCATAGGGACAAGTTCCTGGTTACATCCTTTAAGGAGTGGGAGCTGCCCTCCCCTCCCTTTCTCTCTGCCAGGACAGGGACATGCTGGCCTTTTTGGTCAAGGGCTACACGCCAGGGGAGGTGGAGAAAGAAGATGGAAGGAGTTTTGGTGCTCCATGAAACTGCTTTATCAGCCATAGGTGGTTACTGAGGAGAGAAAGTAACTTTTTTTTTTTTTTTTTGGTGTTGTGACGAATGATGCTGACCACCTTTTCCCATATGTTTTGGCTGTTTGTGTATCTTCTTTCAACATATGCCAATTTGGATCATTTACCCATGTTTTAATTGGGTGTCTTCATTGCTGAGTTGCAAGGGGTCCTTTATATATTCGGGATATAAGATCCTTTCCAGATATATGATTTCCAAATATTTTCTCCTATTCTGTGGATTGTTTTCACTCTCTTGATAGTGTCTGTTGAAGCACAAAAGCTTTTAATTTTGATAAAGTACAATTTATCTATTTTTTTCTCTGGTTGCTTGTAATTTAGTTGTTATAGCTCATAAAGCATTCAAAGGTAGGGTCTGTGCTGAATCTATAGATCAACTTGGAGAGTATCCAGGTTTTTGACAATATTAAATCTTCTGATCCATGACCTTGGTATGTCTTTCCATTTATTCAGGTCTTCTTTGGTTCCTTCCAGCAATGTCTTGTAGTTTTCAGTGTACATATCTTCTCTTCTTTTGTTAAATTTATTCCCAAGTATTTTATTCTTTTTAATGCTATTATGAATGGAGTTACTTTCTTAATTCCAGTTTTGGGTTATTTATTGCTGATGTGTAGAAAAACAATTGAGTTATATATATATCTTTTATCCTGCAAACTTTCTCAACTTGTTTGTTGGCTCTAATAGTTTATCTGTGGGTTCGTTAGGATTTCCTATACACAAGATCATGTCATTTCCAAATAGAGATGGCTTTACTTCTTCCTTTTTATTTCCTTTTCTTGCCTAATTTCCTGGCTAGAACCTGCAGGATGATGTTGTACAAGAGTGGTGAGATAGAAATTTTTGCTTGTTCCTGATTTTAGAGAGAAAGCTAGCATTTCGCATTAAGTATAGCTATGAGTTTTTCATAGGTGCCCCTTATCAGATTGAGGAAGTTCCTTATTTCTAGTCAGTTGAGTGTTTTTATCATGAAAGAATTTTTTCTGTGTCTATTGAGATGATCATGTGGCTTGTGCCCTTAATTCTATTAATGTAGTGTATTGCATTGTTTTTCATGTGTGGCCACTGAAGTCTCTGCTCAGCTAGCTGACTGGTAAGCTAATGATTGGACAGAGATTTCCTTAAGTGATTGGGACGATGGTACTCTGTGTGTATGTTGTGGCACATCTTCAACACTTGGCAGATTTGTCTTCCTGCTTGTGCTGACCTTCAAGGTCAAACAGAGGTGAGATCATAGGGCTTTCTCAGGTCTTTCCTAAACATTCACACAGACCTATATGGCCTTCCAAATTGTCAGGAATATGTTGGAAATTTTCAAAGCCCCTGTGGGCATATTCTCCAGCTTTTTATTTTAAGCTTTTCAGCTATTGTTTGCCCCAACTATTACTCACCACCTCAGGGGGCCAGGAAGCCAATCAATTACTTCTCATAGTTTCTGACGGATGCCCAGGCTTTTCACACTGGGCAAGGTTCAAGTAGGGTCAAATAAAGACAGCCTTGCAAGTGGAATCATCCAGGGACCTACCAGACAAGTCCCGTGATGACAGTTCTCTGGGAATGAGACTTCAAAGGAGCTCCAACCCTGACTTGCCCCTTCCAGTGGCTCCAGACTATTATTTTTCACCGTGATTGCAGGCTGTTGTTTTTCAAAGCTAACTCAGAATTGGAAAGGAGGGGATGGAAATAGAGCAAGTTAATATGCCATGAAACTCACTGTTCTTACTGAGACTCAGCCATTTTTCTTGAATAAATGCTCTCTAGATTTCTTTAAGCCTCCGGTTAATTTCTGTAGTTCTGAAAAAAGTTGATTCTAACATTTCTGCCAGTTTTTGTCTTGACTTTTATAGAATAGAGAATTTTCAGAGATCCTTTGTCTGCCATTTTTACTGAATCTCTATGGCTTCTTTTTATTCATTCTAAATGAATATCTACCTTTTCTTCATGTTAAATGAATCTAAATCTCTACTTGATGATGATAAAAGATTTCCTTTTAAATAAATTTATTTAAGTAAAAAAATAAAGTGATCTGAGGAAGCCAATCTGAAAGGCTACATCTTGTATGCATCCAACTATATGACATTCTGGAAAAGGCAAAACTATAAAGATAGTTAAGAGATTAGTGGTTACCAGAACTTCATGGAGAGGTTATAGGAATGAGTAGGTGGAGTGCAGGGCAATTTTTAGGGTAGTAAAAGTACTCTGTATAATACTGTAATAGAGGATGTGTGTCATTATGTATTTGTCAAAACCCATAGAGCTATGCAACATAAAGAGTGAGCCTTAATGTAAACTATGAGCTTTAGGTAAAAATAGTGGATCAATATTGGTTATTCAGTCATAACAAATGTATCACCCTAATGCAAGATGATAATAATAGGGAAAAGGTGTGCAGGGAGGAGAGGGAAAATACTCTCTGTACTTTCCATTTATTTTTTCGGTAAATCTAAAACTGCCCTAAAAGATAAGATCTATTAAGAATTTTTAAAAAGTGGGTTGATTTTAGGAAACATACTCAATATAGAATAGTAGGTGTTATAAGAGTATGGCAAAATAATGTGGGAGGTATGTGGGTGCTTGACATTTGGGAGACATGGTGCAAGAAATATATATTAAACTGGGGTCTCTTATAAGGCAGGAAAATGGAGAAAAGAGCCAAATAGATTGAATAAAAAAACAAAAATATTTTGTGAATAACTTGGGATCTCTTGGAACTGTCTATTCTACACTGGGTACAGCTGGTGGTGAGTTTTCTCTGCTTTGAAGGTTAAGAATAACTTGGGAAGGAACAAGAAACAATAAAGGTAAGACTTCTAATACAAAGCCTCCACTGGCCAATGGAGAGGCTCATCAGGAAGAGGAAGAAGAGACAAGTAAGAAATGTTGGAAGGTCTCAGTCGAACACTTTGGGGACTGTCAAAACCATGAGCTGAGTGGTTAAGTCTTGTAGCTTCCCACACGAATGTCTATAGCCATTCAACATTAGCCAGCTCTGTGCCTCTTCCTGGTACCATGGACAGCAGCCAGACCTACTGGGGTGAGAGAGTTCATGACCGAAAAGGGCAAGAATTTTACCTCCATTCCATGGTGTCTGGGTTTGCATTAGGGTCTGTTTGGAATACAGGGAAGAGAAAGGAGTTCATCTACTGGGACATCTGACCCTTTCACATAGAGCTACATAGAAGTCCAGGAGGCATGAGGGGAGTGTGCGTAGAGTAGGAAAGGTTGGTCCAAACTGCCACTTGCCCAAGTCACAGGGTTAGTGACAGAGCATGACCCCTCTTGGAATCTCCCTTTCCTCTTCTGCAAAATGAACTTGATCCTTCACTGGTTCCCGTGGCACAGAATAAGTGCCGGACAGGCATTCAGTGAAAGGGCTTCAGAGGATACTTCTCTTGGGTGTGGGGCAGCGGCTGAGGCAGCCTTGTTAAGTGCTGTACCTCTGCCTCCCAGCACATCACCTGCCACATAGTCAGCACTTCAGCCAGCGCTCGAGGAAGGAAGAAAGGAGGGAGGATGCGTTGCTCATGTGCCTCCCTACTCAGCCTACAGTGCTGAGACTGGCACCCAGGGGCCCACTGCCACATCCCTCCTTCCTAAGCAGCCTGTGTCTCTCTTACAGGGTGCAGAGCCCAGGAGGCAGACTTACTGGAACATTCGACTCACCTTTAGCAGTGGCAGAGCTCAAAAGGAGTGGTGGGAGCCTACCCCCACGGCACAGGGCCCATTAGAAGGTCCAGAGTGCTAGGAGTCTTGGAAATGCTCCCTTACCTCCACCTCTCAGCCTGGAGTTCAGGAATATTCCTCCCACTTCATTTCCAACTGCAGACACCTGCTGAGGTGAGTCCCTGGGGAGTCTGGTTTGTAGAAGGCTGGCTCTCAAGGCTTTTGTGATGAAGTCACAGGCCCTTGATGTATTATTCAGGCTGGGTACCAATCAATGCCAGACGCCCATCCATCCTCCACTGGTCCCGCTGCTTGGGTTCTGCTGTTTCAGAAACAAGTGCTAAAATCCAAAGAGAAATTTCCTGCCTTTGTCTTGCTGCAGTGTAAATACCTGGCACCAGTCACTGGGGAGAGAAGCTAGTTCCATATCGTCTGATCCCATTATTTCCAGTTTTCTTGCTGGTTGTAATCACCCCTTGTGCCTTTAACCTTAGGGGGAGGATGCAACATTTCAGCTGCAGGTAAAAGTTGGGCTAGTTTTGGATTTGCTGAAATGCTGTATCTCGTTTTGTCTCCATGTCTAGAAAGAGATGCGATCAAAAGCAAAATACCTTGGAAAAAATCAGAATGGACCACCAGGTACCAGCCAGATACCTGGGATATGCAGAGGGCTAGGAGAAGTGCAGCACGGTGGGGGGCTGGGTGCTGACTGGGCGTTGGGGTTCGGGCTCCTGTCCACTCTACCACTTCTGAATTGGGGCAACTATGGAGAAGTTACTTAGATCTGCTTTGCAGAAATGCCAAGATGTATAAGGCGAGATTAGTCCCGTCCACCCTGCCCTCCTCATGGGGTTCTTGTGCACATAAAATCCAGTAGGAACTTTGACATCATGCCCTGGGGCCAGGTTGGCCTGAATTCGAATCCCAGCTCTGTTTTTCAGCAGCTGTGTGACTTTGTAAAAGTGACTTCACCTCTCTGTATCTCTCTACGATGGGGAAAATAATGCCCCTCTCATAGGGTGGTGAGGGCTAAATGTGTTAATCTATGTAAAGCACTCAGAACAACGTTTGGAATATAGGAAATGTTTACTGAATGGTAGCCTCCATTATTAGTGAAGGATATTAATAAGTGCTGTACTCCAGGCGGTGTACTGACTCAGTGACATGCATGATCTAATCTAATCTGCACAGAGCCTCAGAAGGGAAGTTTGATGCCCCGCCAGGAAACTGTCTCAGAGGATGAAATAAGATCTGAAGTTTCTGCTACTCACCATGTTAGACTTTAAAGCACTTTCTTAGGGGCGCCCGGGTGGCTCAGCTGGTTAAGTGGCTGCCTTCGGCTCAGGTCATGATCCCGGGGTCCTGCGACTGAGCCCCAGTTCGGGCTCCCTGCTCAGCAAGGAGTCTGCTTCTCTCTCTCCCTCTGTCTGAAGCTCCCCCTGCTTGTGCTCTCTCTCTCTGTCAAATAAATAAGTAGAATCTAAAAACAAAACAAAACAAAACAAAAAAGTGTTCTCCTGGTCTTGCTGGGGAAACAAGCTGGAGAAATTTTTACTATTTATTTATTTATTTAAATAGATTTTTGCATATTTTTCAAGGTTTTATTACAGGCACTTTGTAGCCTGGAGGGCTCCTGGGTGCGGCGACCTCTCACCTCTAGCCCCCTGGGTTCCACCGCCCAGGTGTTCACCTAGCCCTCCGGCCTCCTGCACACGGAGCCTTGACTGCTCTTCTTGGAGCCTTTGGGGCGGGCAGGTGCCTTGAGGGAGGCTTCGGGGCCTCCAGACCCAGGTTTGAATCCTGGCTGTGCCTTTGTAGCTGGGAGGCCTCGAGCGTGTCTTTGTCTTCTCCAAGGTCACTCCCTTCCTGCATGTGGGGGTCCTAAGGGGCCACTCGGTGCCCGTGTAGGTGGGCTGGCCCGGAAGATCGGCCAGCCTGACACCCGTTTTCAAGTGTAACCTGGTCCACGGTGCCACAATGTACGATGCCGTTGTCCATTTTTCCCTTGTTGGTCACGCTTGACATTTTTCCAGATGGAGGGGAGTCCACGTCATCCCTCAAGCTCCAGAACCCACGGCTCTAAACGCCAGCTGGAGAATTCCACCGTGCAGCACTTCCTCCCGTCCTGCCTCGCGCTCTCCTCTGCTCCCCCCACCTGTGCCTGTCCGACGGATGTTCTGACAAGGATGCAGGGCTGCGGTGGCCCGATCTGTATCTGCCTCCACCAGTCGCTACTTCACTGCTGCCTCCTGCCTCGAAAGCCAGTCCCAGGGGCTTGGAAAAATAAAGACAGCACCTGCTTCGGCCCTGGCACTCCCACACTCCAACAAAGCCTCTGGCACAGCGTCCTTCTGGGCAGGCCACCTCCTAGGCGGGGCGCAGCGTGGAGCTCATCTGTGAGGCACGGGCCCTGGGAACTGATGGACGCCCACCCTCTGCAGATGGGTATGGCGCAGGACGGCTGGCCAGGGCCCTGGGGGTGCTACAGAAACAGCCAAGCTGGGGCCCCAGTGAGGTCCTTTGAGCCCCTCTGCACCACCCGCCCTCAGCTGTACACCCTCGGCAGGTGCTGTCCCCTGAAGTTCCTTGTTGCCCAAATAGTCCAGACCCGCTCCCCGCCAAGAGGCAGGCCCACCTCTCAGTGGGCTGAAAGACCTCTTTACCAGGCAGATATGATCAGATCAGCCCAGATTTAAACACACGAGCCTTGGAATACAGACTGAACTCTTTACCTTTGTCCCTCAGGCCCTCCAAATTTCCCAGCTTCTTCTCACCCTTCTCTGCCCTATTCTGTGCTCCCCTACCCCAGCCTTTCCTCTGCCCCCTGCCACCCAGGGCCTGCGCCTGTGTCTTAGCCTGCAAAGCACCCCCTCCCCTAGGCAGCCCCACCGTCCCGTCAGATTTAATCCCAGATGGGGCCCCTTCCAGACCCGCTCCTGCCCTTTTGCAGGTTGGGGCGGCTCCCCTTCACCAGAGACTTCAGCTGCCATTTTTAATGGGTCTTTGATTCCTTCTCTGCACACGGACCAAGAGAGCAGGACAGGGACTTGCAGGTTTGGCTCTTCAGAAGCACAGAATTTGGGGTCTGGCATGTTTATCAGGGATCGGCACCTGTCAGAGGAAGTCAAAGACGGGAAGCTGGACTGAGCAGAGGGAGAAATCCAGCACTGGCGTGGCAAGGCTGGGCCCCGCTGGCGGCGGGGTGGTGGTGGTGGGTGGAGGTGGGGGTGCTGCAGCAGGGGAGCCCAGTATGGTCCTGCCTCGAGCCCTACCTCGAGCCCCGACAGCCAGACCTGTGTCCCCAGCGAGGCTCAGTTGCCAACACAGGTGTGCTGGGAAGGTGTGACCTCGTGAAGGACGCTCTCACAGCTGGCCAGTCCTTCCTTGAAGGGGGGCAGGGCACCTCTCCCTGCACAGCACGCATGCGTCCATGGGGCTCAGCAGAGGGTGTAAATCCAGCCCGGTGCTCCTATTCCAGTGGAGCAGCCTCCTCCGAAGGGGATGTGCTTCCGAATTTGCATGAGGGCAGCATATGGCCTGGCAGCCCCAGACATCCCAGTGGACAGAACGGAGGAAGACCTTTCAGACGTCTAGCTAGGGACCCCAGACACATGCAGCTGCCCTGGCCGGGCCCCCCATTTGCCAAAGAGTTGATACCAAGCAGGTTTGTGCTCAATTAGAATTCTATGCATCTGTTTGTTTCTTTGATGGAAACACCTTCAGTCTTGTTTTTCAAATTCATCAGCTGGCACTCCCCAGCCCCAGAGTTATGGGACAGCAGGGGCTGGCCCCATTCCTCTCACTCTCTCCACCACCAACAAGAACTTGTTACTGTTTTCAGGTGTGGAGCTAGAAGGTGCAAAGTGTCTGTGTGTCTCTTGCACAGTATCGGGGAGGAGCAGAGTGGAGGAGCCAAGGAGCTCAGCTCTCGACTTATCTCTTCATTTTCAATATCATCAGAAGCATTGAAGGACTTTTTCCTTCCCAGGGAGAGTTCGTTCAGTAATATTATCTTGGCCAGCCGGGCAGGAAGAGAGGAGATTTTTCTAAGCCAGGACCCAAGTACATCCAAGTGCACTCCTCCCTCGAACCCCCTGCTGCCCCCTACTTGAGATTTAAATGCAATTTATGTAAACTTCATTTCTATTTGCCAAGTGACTTTCATTCTAAACATATCCCGTAATACTTCACGCAGATAAAGAGTAACATTTACGAAAATGTGTGATGCGGATGTAGAGAAACCTTGGGCTAGATTTCCATGAGTCGTAGAATGGAGCAGAAAAGGGGAAGGCAGGTTGGAAAGATTACTAGGAAATAAAGTAGTGATGGGGCAGGTTGCTAATTAACTAGAAATGAAATTTTTTCTACTAGTTAATTTTTTAAATGTTTTCAATAACCAGTTAACTAGTTTAAAAGCTTAAAGGAGCCCTACATGTGGGTCAGTAAAGCCACTTCCCGAGGCTAAGACATGTCAAGCCCCACCCACCTTGGGAGGAGGCACCACGTCAACTGCCGTCACATGACTGCTCTTTACTGAGCCCTTGCTGGTTACCGAGCTCCTTACACGTGTTTCAATCTTTAATCAACCCCATGGAGCTGTCATTCGATGTCTATTTCATAGATAAGGCACCGAGAAAGAGAGAGCTGCTCCTTGCCCAAGGTCAGCACCGTCTATGTCCACGGTCCACCATCTGCTCACCCATTCAATGCTCGTCTGAGCCCAGGAGAGTCCACCGAAATCTCCTTCCTGATCGCCCATCTGCCTTCATCTTGGCTCTGGACCCACAGGGCTTTATGAAGCGACGCTGATGCGTTGTGGATAGGAGCACCTCGGTGGGCGACAGCTGGGTTCAGATCCAAGTTCTGGTATTGGCACGTTGTGTGATCAGGGCAAGAAACCATGTCTTTCTGAGCCTCTGCTTTCCAACCTGGGAAACAGAGGGAGTTACAGGAATCCCCCAGTTTTTAAGTTTGCATATTGTGACTCAGCTTCTATAAGAGACCTGTGTTAGGATGTGGCTAAAGAAAGAAATCCAAAGAGAATTTCTGCTTTTACAAAAAAAGGTGAAAAGTGAAAATCTAATTCAGCGTTTGTTTTGCATTGAGGCCTCACAGAGGCTGTGAGGGTGGTGCCCCCCCAGCTCCTTCCCGGGGAACCACACGCAGCCTCTCAGCCTCCAGCCTCCAGAGCCCGAACTGTGCCTGTGGGCATACGTGCTTTATCTCGATCTATTTTGCGACTTTGTTAGCAAGATGTGTCCTAAGGTATCAGAAAAACCTAAGAGAGATGATTTATTGGGTCTGGGAACACTCAAAGAATTTTTCATGTAAATTAATGGTAATTGCTTCTTGGCTTTGTGCCATGGCTGCTTATGAAAGTTTTCGTAGGAACACTCTACTTTCAGAGAGCGGGGGAGACCTGTATCACCTTGTTGAGTTGTTGTTAGTAATAAGTGAAATGGTTAAAAACTGTATCTGGCACATTGCGGACACGAAACTTATCACGGATATGGCTCTTACATGTTACCAAGTGCTTCTGAGTTCACCACCCTAGACAGTGTTTTTCAAAGTATGTTGCATGGACCACCTTCATTAGGGTGACATGGGAGGCTTGTAAAGCACACGGATTCCAGGGTCCTACCCAAGCCCTCCTGAACCTGAATAGTGGGGGCCGGGCCCGGGAGTCTGCATTCTTAGGAGGCGCCCCCCCAGCCTGGTAATTCAGCTGCCTGCCAAGTCTGAGGACCCTGCAGTATCACAGGTCAGTGGGGATGAGGACAGTGACCCACACAGGTGCCAGGGACTGAGTATTTGGGTCCCCCAAATTCATAAGTTGAAATCTAACCCCCAAGGTGATGGTGTTAGGAGGTGGGGCCTGTGGACGTGGTTAGGTCATGACAGGGGAGCTGGAGCCCCCATGGTGGGACTCGCGGCCTTTCAAGACCAGGAGAGCCCATCTCCCTCTCCACCACCTGAGGACACAGTGAGAAGCAGAACTTCTGCATGCCAGGGAGCGCGCCTCCCCCAGGAGATTTGCTGGCCAGCGCCTTGATCTTGGACTTCCCAGTCTCCCCATGTCTGCTGTTAAGCTCCCCACTTATGGATGTCGTTACTGCCCCCCAAACAGACTAAGACAACCGGAACAAGAGAGTTCAATCAAAGAGCCTTGAATGTACTGTCTTCTACCTTCCTGGAAACTGGATAGGAGCGGAGGTAGCTGCCAACACAGGTCTTACTTGGGAGGAGGGCGAGGATCTGGCGGATGGGACGGTTCCCTGCGTTGCTCACCTCGCGTTCCCCAGAACACAGTAGGCAAAATCATACCCAACCTTCTGACCTTGAGGGAGCATGGTGACTCGCATCTTCTTCCCCAAATCTGCCCCAGCTATCCAAGCCCACTCTTTCCTTCACTTCCCTCACAGGGCTGCATTTTTAGAAGGGAAAATAAATCGAGTCACTGATGCACAGCGAGTTATCGTATGAAAGCAACAAGGTGTTGAGGAAAGAACTAGGACTTTGGAAGCAGACTTCCATCACCGATACATCGACATACACACACACACACACACACACACACGGACCATCTGCCATCTGCCAGGCACCACGTGGGCATTTGGGGTGGCGTGGTGGACAGGAAAGCGGTCCTGGCCCTTCTCACAGGATTTACACTCGTGTGCGTGCCTGTGTGTGCCAACAACTTACAAAGCACTTACTTCGCGGTCCAGCAAGTGCTGTGATTAGAGAAATCTGGAAGCAGGGAGACCGGGACCCTTAAAGGAACAAAGAAGCTTAGAGCAGGGAGAGAAGGGGTGAGAGAGAGACACAGGGAGGAGACAGAGAGAGAATATGACGGAACGAGAATGGATATAAGATGGTCGTAACCGGGCTGGACAGGAGGCAGGGGTAGGTGATGAGCTCCTCTAGGAACCACATTAAAGAGTTTGTACTTTCTACCCCAGAGCACTGGGGAGCCCCTGAAGGATACGGAGCTCCGTAGGTAGGGCTTGACCATTTAGAGAGCTCTGACTGCAGGTTGGCGGATAGACAGAAGGACTGGGGTGGGGGGTGGCGGGCGGTCAGGAGCTGTGTTGTGAGTGCGGAAGCGCCCCGTCTCACCTCTTGCTGGCTCTGACCTGTTGAGGCCCAGGACTCCCATGGCATGGAGGCAGAGGGGCTCCTTGCGTGCAGGGCTGAGTAAGTGATCACATGCGGGCCAGGCCAGCACCCCGTGTACGTACATCAGCAATGGCAGTGGTCCTCTTGTGGCTGCCCTTTGGGTCCATCTTGGGCTTGGAGTCTGGGTGACTTCCTTCATGTCCCCGTTAGTGCCTCAGGGGCTGGAGAAGCCCTGCCCGCGCCAGCATCAGGACCTGCCAATCATTCCAAACCCCAGGGCTCGGACGGGAGGGCGCGGGGGGGGGGGGGGGGGGCAGGGCTCTGAGGTCCTGACAGCGGCTTTTCTCTGCAAGGAGACCCTGGCCCGGCCCGCAGGTTGATGTGGGTGGGACCCCCACACGCCCCTGGACCTGAGCCGCAGGCCTAGTCAGAAATGCGTCTTTAAGAGCGACTTGTACCCCTCGGCTGATGGACGGGCCGTCAACTTCCCACAGCCCGAGCGCAGAGCGAACGAGACGAAGGAGGGTTTCGGAGACGAGTGTACAGGCGTCCAGCGCCCGGCCTCTTCCCAGGCCCTTCCTGGCATCCGTCCTCTTTGTGCAGGGTTCAAGACCAGACGCTGCCAAGTTTCTGACTGCGTCTCTTGCCGTGGCAGCCGGTCAACATCTTAATAGCTCAAGCAGCTGACAAAAGCAAGAGGAAGCCGAGTGTGTGCAGAGAATTGTTCACTCCCCGGCCGCAGGGCAGAGGGCGAGGTGGGCGGCAGGGGGGCCAGAGAGAGGCCCTCTCCTCAAAAACACAGAGGATGCTGGCTGCCTGGGCCTTCAGAGGCGGGCCTACGCTCAGCACAAGCCTTCAGGCCCTTCTTAGGGGGTGAGTTGCTCCGAGGACCTGGCCAAGGAAGAGGAAATCCACCGGGTCAGGGACGGTGCGAGTGGCAACTCCCCCGTGCAGAGGGACTCGTCTCTGTCCACTTGCTGACTCGTTGTCCACAACGTGGTGGCCTGCTGTGTTCTACAGAGAGGCTGTGGCGGTTCGGGGGGGCGTGGTGCAGACGGCCCAAGGTCAGGTCTGGCTGTGTGCTTCCGAGGGAGGGAGGCCAGCCTGAACTCGAGCCTCCGCACCCGGGATGCAGGATGTTGGGAGGATGAAGTGAGCCACTGGCCGATCGGAAGCCAGGACAGTGCATGTGGGATGAATGTGCTAACACAGGTTTGGGCAGCGCAACAAGAATGTGATGGGCGCTGAGCTGGGAGTGAAGCGGAGAACAAGACACTGATGTCGTTCCGGTGGGACAGACAGACACAGAAGGAGTTGCAAGTGCAAAGGCCCTGGGGTGGGAGGGAGTGTGGTGTGTTTGAGGATGCACAGGGAGGCCATGGGGCTGGAGGGGAGTGGTTGCAGGGGGAAGGGCAGAGAGCACTTGAGGGTGTGCAGAGCCTGAGAGTCATGGTAAGGACTTTGGCTGCCAATGAGGGAGGAAGGCATGCGGGGTTCAAAGATACCTATTATGGAGCACCTACTGTGTGCCGGGTGCTGGGGATCCAAGAGTAGGAAGGCAGGTATGGCTCCCCTTCAGAATCCAAGGGGACTTTCTTCTGAAGAGCTCCAAGGCCATCTGTGAGGATTGCCTCACTTACACCCCAACCACCATGTCCAGCAGCTTACACCCATTTGGCAGGTAGAGAAACCGAGGCCAGAGGGGACTCCCATGCCCAGGAAGACTGCTGTGTGGCCAGGCTCCCTTGCTCTCTGGTTTCTGGTTGGGTTGCCTAACGGGAGCCTCCAGCACTTGTTCAGGGGTGGGAGGAGAGAGGGGCTGTGGTATCTATGTCTCTGGTTGCCTCTTTTGGAGCTGGGGTTGACAACACCTGCATTCCTCCACCTCTGTGGGGTGACCGCTAGCTGCAGGTCTTGCCAGGGGCCAAGAGCCCTTCCTTGGAAAGGGGGTAACAGCTTCGGTGGTTGCTAGTCTAGGGTGGGAGCCCCGCATCTTGTGGTTCCCACACCTTTGTAAAGAAGACTGTCATTAAGTTCATGGTTTTCACCCCTTTTGAGTGGGTGCTGTTCTACCCAGGACTTGCCGGACACATAATGAACAGGGAACAAAACAGGAAGATACCACGGAGGGTCCCCATGACATCACCAAGTTGCTGAAGCCCATCCTTTGCTGGATGTCCTGTTACAAGAGCCAGTAACAGTCCTCATGCCATTCGGAGGTCGATTTGCTGTTCCTTGCAAAGCGATTCAGTCATGCTGAATTACTTCCCCCAGGCACCCAGCATCTGGTGAAGAACATAGACTCCAGGCCACACAGAAGTAGGATCAAATCCGAACCTGGCCACTTAAGAGCTGTGTGACCTTGGGCAGGTTACTTAACCTCTCTGTGCATCAGCTTTCTGTTTCCTACCCTGGGAAGGATAACGGTTCCTACCCCACAGAGTTACAGTTGTAAGATTCAATGAACGACCTCACAGTGCCTGGCACATACTGAACCCTCTAAAGGTTGCTTAGTGCTGCTTTTTTATCCTTACTTTTGCACACTGAAAACAATTTTGCTGCATTTCCATTACTGAAATGAAGAAACGGTGCTCATGATTTTTTTCTGCCTCAACATACCCATTAGTAAATAGCACTTAGATGCTGCCCTCGGTGGCAGTGGCATTCATGAGGATTCTGTCTGTGACTTGAACACTGCTCCATCTCTGAATCCTGTGCCACCTCTGACATGCTGGGTGGCACTCTGCTCTGACCCACCGTGGGGTCTGGGGGTGGTTGTCTTAATGCGGAGGAGGGCGCGTCCCAGGGTGCTCAGGTAGGGCAGCAGGTTGTGTCCTTCCCGTGTCTTCTGTGGGGCATATACCAGGCAATGTCCCTGAGCCTGGCTGTCTCCAGACAGAGGGGCCAGCGCTTAAGGAGCCCATGACGTGCAGCCCAGGACCTCACCAGCTGGGGAGGCAGCAATGAGTGTTGATGGATGAGTCCATTGTTTTCTGAAGAGGACTGATGTGAGGATGCCAATTATTTTTCCCCTTCCAGGATGTTTAAACTTTCTGGATCCATCCATCTGTTCCTTTATTGCATCAATATGTATTGGCTGCCCTTCATATTCTGGTGACTGTTTTAGGTGCTGGGGATATAATGGTTAACAAGACAGAAAATTCCAAATACAGACCTTTCCTCCCTCTGGGACACCCAATTAAAAGCTGAAAGATGAAACAAGTAGAAAATGGACACATAATTTTTTCCTCTGATTACAAGGCCACAGTGGAAAATATGGAAAGGCGCTAGGAAGAAAGGATCCCGTTCCCCAGAGACCATCACTGTCATATTTCAGGGGATTTTCTTCTGTTCTTCCAACATGTGTATTTTAAGTACCATCAAGACAATTCAGTGTTTGCAGGGTTTTAGCCTTCTTTTATTGTAAAGTAAAGCAGATCGAAAGCCACTCTAAACAAGTGTACAGCTGGGTGAGTTACTATACTCTGAACATCCTCGCAGCTCCCCCTGAGCGAAGGAGCAGAACTTTGCCTTCCATCCTCAAAGACCCTCTGCTATCCCCACCCCTGCCTCCAAAAGGAAGGGTTCCCGCCCTTCAAGCAGCCGCTTTCTTGCATTTCTCCATGGTTTTACCGCCCGGGTGGGCTGCCCTAACCACTATGGTTCAGGGCTGCCCATTTGAGAAAATCTGTTATGTCTTTCAAATCTCTTTTAACCTACCGTTTCCTCCTCTTCCCCTGCCACCCCTTCCCTGGATTTGTTATAATCTGTAGCAGAGCCCAAGAAGATTGACCTGTGGAATTTCCCACGGTCTGGGGCACTTTAACATATTTCTTTGTCCTCAGCGTTCTCTGCAAATTGGCAGCCGGTTCACTGGCCATTTAGGCAAAAGCAGCAAATGACTGAGAAGAGAAATTATGTGATTATACTTCTTTGAGTCTCGCAATTTTACTTCAGAATATGACCCAGGGATGATCCTTCTGGGTGAATATCCTCAGGTACCGTGTACCCTCGCGGTATGTAATTTTAAATCATTTTTTTAAACGGACATATAGTTTGCCTACAGTGAAATTCACGCTTCCTGTTGTACATTTTTATTAGTCTTGACAGAGCCATGTAACCACCGCCACGATACAGATCTAAAACAGTTCCATCCTTCCTTCCATAGGAGGAGTCTAATCTCCTTGTGTTCAGCCATGTTTCCTGTTGGTTGCGTGTCCTTGCTTTGCTGGGTTTCCTGGGAGACTCCTGTTATCTCTTCCTTACAGCTTCTTCTCCACGCTTCAAATCTCGTCACTTTTCCAGAAATCCTCTTCTTTTTGTTGTTCTTAGTTCTCTCTGCATTTTTGGATATTTTCTGTTGTTAAGTATTTAGGTTCATGCCTCTTTTCTTCTGTGGTGTCTGGTCTGTTAGGAATCACATTCAGTGTGTTTCTCTTGTCAGACATTATTAGTTTCATCTCTAGAAGTTTGGGTTCTTTTTTATATTTTCCATGTATCTCCTTGATGCTTTCCCCCATCTTCTTGACGATCGACGTCACCTCAAACCAAAGTAGTTACCTGGATGTTTTTCCCCATCCTTCTCTCTGGATCCTATTCTTTCTCTGGTGTGACCACTCGCCATACAGAAAGGGCTTGTTGTTCATTTGTCCAGCCCTTTATCTGTTCAGTGTACGTTTATTGAGCACCTACTGCATGCTGGTCACTGGGCTCATGAAACAGGGCAGACGAGGTGCAGTCTCTGCTCTTACAGAGCTTTCATTCCACTATGAGAAGATAGAAAACAAACAAGGAAGCCAGTGTATAATCAGAAATTATGACGATGCTATGAAGCACAAGAATTTTTGGGGAAATCTACAAAGAGGTCTGAGAGATGGTGACGTTGAAGCTAATCCTGAAAGAGCAGAAGGATTCAGTCGTGGGGGCAAAAAGAGATTCTGGGCAGAGAGGATGGCTTGACAAAAGGCCCTGGGGCAGGAAATGGGTCTGAACCAAGGCCAGCGTGTGGTTTTTGGTGTTAGGAGAGAAGAATAATGAAAGGGGAGGTTGGAGTCTTGATTCATAGAGTTTGGTCTTAATCCTAAGAATGAAGGGAAACCATGCAAAGTGTTCAAGTAGGAGAGTAAGATAATAAATTAAATTTCCTGGAGACATCAGTGGTAGTGCAGAGGATGGACTGGGAAGAAGGAAAGTGAAACAGGGGGGACAGGTAGGGAGTGACCTTTTCAGAGGGAGTGGCACTGGCCTTGCTCAAGTAGCCAGTGAGCAGTA